GTGATATCGAAAATTTGGTGATTAATTAGGAAATCGGCATATTTAGCTGGATTAAAAGGATATAAGTGGATTTGAAAGATATCGAATTTATTCACTGACGGATTGTCCACTGCCAAAAGTTCGATTGGACTCATATAGTGAAGTAGAGCTCATTTAATTTTTACTAATTATCAACACTTAATGATTATAATTTTTTAATTTTATTCGACAATAAAATTATTATACAATTTCTGCATTTCAGCTCACCATCAACAGTTCATACATTTTATTTAAACATTCTTCTAAATTCAACTCATTATTTGATACAATTGAACAGGTAAAACTTTCTATTAAAAATAAATTTTATAAAGGATGTACTATCGCATTATACCGCACATGTCCGCAAATGTTTTTCCGCAGGTTTTTCCTTCTCCCATCCTCTCTCTCTTCTCAGTATAATTGATTAATACAACTTGATTAATACAAATTGAACTTTTTCTTTTCTCTTTTCTCAAAAGGTTATTAGGAAAAATGGTCCACACGTAAATAAAGCGAACAACTGGGAACGACTTCCTTCTAACAACGATCCGACTCGAATAAATACTGCAGAACGACATGTACCATCTGGATTTAAACCAGGATGATAAAATTCAAGTTCGTTCCCCCTCTTTTTTCCTACCTCGAAGTATTAAAAAATGGTTAGTCAGTTTTAGATTATAGAACTCGACGAGTTGTGTCGAATGACCCCAAAATCAACCAGGTCTTAACTCTGGGCCAAGATACAAACCCTCGAAAATTGAAAAAGATTCATGACCATTTATACAATTTTTGTTTGTTGGTAAAATATCTTTAGATTGTAAAAATTTAATGACTCTTTGATCTCGCAAGAGAAAAATTAAAGAAAAATAAAATAAAAATGTTGTCTACTCAAATTCATTGCGTTATTTAAATAAAATTAATCCATTATTAATCATTTACCGTTCTTGACCATTATTAATCATTTACCGTTCTTTTAATCTTTATGAGAATAGAAAGGATGAGAGAAGGAAAAACATGCGGACAAGCATTTGCGGACATGTGACGATATAATGCGATAGTACCTAAATGGATTATTAATGGAAATATTGTTTTGAAAGATTAAAATTAAAAACTAACAACATTTTGAAATACAATATAAGATGATTTGCAGCTTATTCAAAATATTTTGCAATAAAAACTTGGTCGAAAAGTTAGTCGATAATTGGAAAGAAAATAAATTATATTGATTAATATAAGAATCTGCACATTGAATTGTATAAATTGTTGTAATTGTGGATGGGTAAGTAAACTTAAATTATAATAAATTATTTTTCCCATTTTAAAGGTAGCTTTCTAAAAAAAGTCGTTAATTTTTTTAATTTTTAAAAAAAAGTTGTATTTTTTAAATATCTAAAATAAAATTTAATTTTAAATACATGATTCAAAGTATTTAATTTACCAACTTTATAAATTTATATCAAAAATTTAAAAAATCTGTAATATACATTTATCACAATGCAATTTTTCATTTTATTCAAAAGAAATATGATGAAAAAAAAATTAAAAAATCTTTTTAAAAACATATTCTTTTTTAAAATTCATTCATCTTCAAAAATTCGTACTTAATACTTACATAAATGCTTGATAATGCAGCAAATGCGGCAGTAAAAAGGAAATTTCAAGTTGAAAAGGAGATTAAAATATAAAATTTTAATATAATTATCTGCACATTGTATACTGTTGTAAAATTGGTATAAATTTGTGTAATTGTAGATGTGTAAATAACCTTAAATTACAGCAAATTATTTTTCAAATTTTAAATATGTTTTTAAAAAAATAAATTTAAAAAATCTTACTCTATTTATATCTAAGGATAATTTTTCAAGAAAATCATTTTAAAATTTTTATCCGTCATTGCATGTCATCTCGTCATACCTCTCATGAACATATTTTGTTAAAATTTTCTAAAATAAATTTTAATTTTACATTATTTTTTAAATTATTTTAACCATCTTTTACGTTTTATTAAAATTTTTATCAAAAATTCAACAAATCGGTAAATAAACATTTAATAAAACGCTATTTTTGCATTTTATTCGAAAAAAATTTTTTTAATTTTAATACAAACATATTTTAATAATAATATGAATTATAATTTTTAAAAATTAATTCATTACCAAAAATTCAGTCATCGTTAAAAATTGATACTTAGTATTACTTCCATAAATGTTTGATAATGCAGCAAATGAGGCAGTAAATCGACCTTGTGTTCCCTTCAAATTATTTCTATTGATTTTTTGACGAATTGCTGACGTTTGTAATATTGTGAAAACAAAGGTTCTAATTTTGGTTCCTCTAAATTTTTTTCAAATTAAAGAAATTTTTAAATAATTTAAAAAACCTTATAACCAGTAAAAAGTTTTTATCACAAAATGTGCCAAATAATAATCGAAAATAAAACAGCAGCACAAAATGTTTAAAGATTTGGTCATATTCAATATTTCTTTGTTTAAAAATAAATTTAAAAAAATTTTTTTAATTTGGTAATTTTTGGATAACCAGGCCCCTTCCTGATTTGAATCTTACAATTATTCTTTCTTTATGTCTATCATTTATTACCTCAAGCAATAATGGTGAAATGTAAGTGCAGTCGTAAAAAATTAATGTTACTGCTAGCACAAATATGACAAAAAAATGTAGGAATAACTGATACACAACTAGGAAGAGGAAGAAGTTATACAAAAATTACCAAAATAAATTTGATTTAAAATTATAAACCTAATCTCGGTAATATTCAATTTCGTTCCCCCCTCCTTTTTTGCATCCTCAAATTATTAAAAAATGGTCAGTCTGACTTAAGTTATAGAACTCGTCGAGCTGAGTCGAATGACACCAAAATCAAAAAAATCCGACTTGATTGGACCGAAATACAGACCCCTGAAAATTGAACAACCATAGGGGTGATTTTTTAGAATAAAAATTTTTTATGTAAATGATAGCTCATTCGAAAGAGCTCGTCGAGCTGAGTCGAATGACACAGAAATCAACGTAATCGGACGAGTTTTGACAAAGTTATGGCATTATTTAGACCTACCGGAGTCGGCAACCTTATGTCATAACTTTGTCAAATCAAGTCGGATCACGTCGATTTCGGTGTCATTCGACTCAGCTCGACGAGCTCTTTCGAATGAGCTATCATTTGTATACTTTTTCGTCTTTTTGGTATTTCGCTCCCGTGGTTGTTCAATTTTCAGGGGTCTGTATTTCGGTCCAATCAAGTCGGATTTTTTTGATTTTGGTGTCATTCGACTCAGCTCGACGAGTTCTATAACTTAAGTCAGACTGACCATTTTTTAATACTTTGAGGATGTAAAAAAGGAGGGTGGAACGAAATTGAATATTACCCTAATCTCCAATCCTCTATTTGTATTATCAATAATTACACTTGATCCATTTTCCAAAACTTTTCAAAACAATTTTGCTAAGTTTTTAATTCATCTTGATTGTCTTTATATTTTTATGAAAATGTGCTTTTTCCACAAGATGGAGGGCCAACAAGTAAAATTAATATTTGTAAAGAATTTGGTATTCTAACATTTTCTAGAAAAATATTTATTTTGAGAATTATTTAAAAAACCTGGCTCAAATTCATTAAAATTTGAAGAATTTTCAATCAATTGTAAAGGATTAAATTTTGGTAATAAAAAAATCTTCAATTTGTAAATTGTTAAGAAAGAAAAATTGTTCTGGAGTGTAAGATTTAAGTCACAAATTCATTGGAAAAAGACGATCAATACAAGAATGATCAGATTCTGGGTTATTCTGAAAAAAAATTAATGTTCTTTATTCTCCCAAATTTTAAAATCATTTAAAGTTATAAGGAGAAGGTTGTGAGTATATAGGATAGAATAAATAGGAAAAGGGAAATGTCTATCCTAGAAAAGCTTCGAACCTACAAAAAACAGTTGCATTAAATTAGCAAGGGCGTAGCTGGGGGGTCGATTTAAGGGGTCTAAAATTGGGTGTACGCCAACATTTTGGCGTTTACTGTGGCGTTCCTAACGCAAATTTTTCTGAAAAATATTTTTTCTGAATTTTGGAACACAAGCTAGATTTCTTCACTTTCAGCGCCGCAGCTTAAATTTTTTGAATTTGAACGGTCATAAGCGAAAAAATTCCTTATTTGCCCAATCCCCTCCTCAAATTTTTCACTTTCCCCATTTCGGGAGGAGGGCTTTAGCCCCAGAAGCCCCCTTGGCCTACACCCTTGAAAATTATAAAATCTTCGGATTTTACCATGAAAAAGCTAGAAAACAAATTCCTCACTTCACAACCTTTCCTTGTTAAAAATCTAAAAAAAATATAACAAACATCTCCCACATAAAATGATTCACTTTTTTCTATTCCAAAAGATCCATTTTCACTTTCTCAAGTTTATTCAACATTCCTTAAAAATGGGAAATATAAAAACTAATTCAAACAAAAAATAAGCCTGTATACGGTTTTCGAAAATTTGGAGTTTCAATTGATACGAAAACCTAAAATTGAAAGTTAAAATAGAACATTAAATAAAAATTAACTTGAATAGGGCCACCAATAGCTGTACAAATATTTTGAATTTTAATTTTGAATCCAGCAGCGATGTTTTTTCTAAATAAAAAATTTTGTTTAAAAATCTAAATTTGATTTTAAAGGACAAGTAACTTGTGGAAACCACCGAGTGACTATATCCTAATAAAAGAATGGAGAATATACAAAAGAAATTCTACTAAAACGGGGAAACGTTTTGGCCACAAGTGAGGGCGCGGATCGTTAGGGCGTGCGCCGTAATGGTTCTAAGACACCAAGATTAGAGGTCGATAAAATAGCATTTGCAGGATCCTGTAACAGGATTAGGTTTTAAAATTTCGTACAGGACAAAATCCTGCAAGATTAATCCTGAAAATCCTGCCAATCATGAAAGAAAGCAGGAGTTCGTACAGGATTTTGAAAAATCCTGTACGGGATACTGTCCTGTGCCGACCTCTAACCACTATCATGATGGAATAAAAGAAGATTGGTTTAATTGTAGGCAACCCCACCAAAACGTTAGACGGCAAAAGATATTTTTGATAAAACAAATAACCCAACCCCTGAAGCATAACAACCTAACCATTGAATTATTTATTAAAAAATCACAAACTGGATTCTCATTTGATTTGTAAATATACACAATTTAAACCCATCTTCATGACATCTCTTTAATTTTCCAATAGTACCTCTTGATCAAAATTGCAAGTCATCATTATTTGGAGGGAAAACACGTCCAAATTTTGTTTTAATAGAAGTACAATCTTAAAATTAAATACAATTTCAACCAAATTTTTAAAAATACCCATATCAAAACCAGCAAATTTTGATCGATGCAAGATTCCTTGAGTTGTGTAAATCATTATTTGACCAGTCGTCTTCTTTTTTTGTAGTTTTTTATCGCCAATTTTTCTCTTGAACATTAAAAGAAATTTAGGATAAGATTACCCAATCTGTAAGTAAAAAAAAGAGTTACACAACAATTTGAAAAAATTAACGTATGAATTGGCAAACGATTTCTAAAAAAATAATTAAACTACGTAAATACTAAAATTTTTATTCACGACACAAATTAGAAAAAACGCAAAACTTTTTATCAAGAATTCTTAAGAATATTGATAAAACATAGTCCCGTCATTCAATTGATTAAAAGTAATTTTAACAATCGAAGTCTTATATTTTCATTAGACTTTATTTTTCCTCCATTAAGTTGTAGCAGAAGGACAACTTTCATCCGTTCCCATTTGATCTTTAAAAAAATATTAGAAATATTTAAATTGAATTATTTCTATTGGTACTCTCCGGTTATCTCCCACACATTCTTCGTTTTTTCTCACTCTTTCCTCCTTTACAAAATGGTAAGATGCAAATAACGGACAGAAATAATTTTAGAAATCTGGATAATATGCTTCATCTTGTTTTATTTTGACTATTTTTGCCTGCCCATTTTGTCTTTGATCCGTTTTTAATTTTAAAAGAAATAATAAAACGAGAAAGTAAATTTAAGGAGATACCCGTAGAGTACCTTCTATTAAATGCAAATTATTTTATTGAAATTTAAGATAATATTATCCACATACCACAATCATGTACAATTCGTAAAGGGTATCATTAACAACAGTTTCATTATGTAAATAATTTTTCATCTCCAATTAAAAGGAAATTTAACAGGTCGTCTGTAGTAATGCTTGAGATCAAAGGAGTAGCTCTTAGGAGATGCTCTTACTTAAAAAAAATTGTAAAAATGGAAACAAAAATATTATAAAAATACCTATCTCTATTAATTTTTTAAATTCACACCTTTCCAAGTAAATACATTCCCTAGATTCGTCGATGTTGCTCATTTAGTAAATTTGGTTTGATTCGTATTTTGACAATTTTATCAAATTCTTCTTCTAATTTTGGGTCCTCTAAATTTTTTAAAATAAAAAATTTTTTAAATCAATTTAAAAACCTTATAACCAGCAAAAAAAGTTTTTACACAACTTTATAAATATGTTTATGCCCTTCATCTCCGCCATTTAATTCTTCGATTTCATTATTTACAAAAATTTGCTTCCAATATTGAAAATCAATAAATGAAGAAAATAAATTATATTGATTAATATAATTATCTGCACATTGTTTAACTGTTGTAAAATTTGTATAAATTGTTGTAATTGTAGATGGTGAAGTAACCTTAAATTATAATAAATTATTTTTCCAATTTTAAAAGTAAATTTTTTTAAACATTGTAAAACTTAAAAAATCCTACTAGACTTAAATCTTGGAACAATTTTTCAAGAAAATTATTTTATAATTTGTATGGTCTCGCAAATCATCCCAGGATACTTTAACATATTCTTTTTTAATTTTCTAAAAACTAAGATCGAGTAAAATAAAGTATACTTTAACATATTCTTTTTTAATTTTCTAAAATACTAAGATAGAGTAAAATAAAGTATTTTTAAAGACTCGTGGTGTAAATTTTTCTTCTCCAATTAAAAAGGAAATTTAACATTTCGTCTGTCGTAATGCCTGTTATTTTCAACACTTAATGATCATAATTTTTAATTTATTTTAAAGTACCTAATTCCAGCAAAAAATGATTATATTTGGTGAACTCCAATAATAACATTTTTTGTAATTTATTGGAACAATTATTGCCTTCCCCCTTAACATCAACAGTTCTTATAAACATTTTATTTAAACATTCTTCTAAATTCATCTCATTATTCTGATATAATTGTACAGGTAAGAATTTCTATTAGAAATGAATATTATAAAAAAATTATTAATGGATATTTTTCGTACTTTAAAAATCTTAAATTAAAAACTAACAAAATTTTGAAATACAATAAAAATTGCTTCCAAAATTTGAATAATTTGCTTCCAAAATTTAAAAATAAATAAGTGAAGAAAATAAATTGAATTGAGTAATTTTATCTGCACATTGTTTAACTGTTGTAATAGTGGGATAATTCTGTATAATAGTAGATGTAGAAGTAACCTTAAATTATAACAAATTAATTTTCCCATTTAAGGGTAGATTTTTCAAAAAGGTTGTAAATTTTAAAAAATCTTACTCTATTTATATCTTGGGATAATTTTTCAAGAAAATCATTTTTAATTTGTATGAGTCATCGCAAGTCACCTAAGTCTTCTTTAATTTCCTAAAATAAATTTATTAAAATTTTTTTCCAATAGTAGTTTTTCTGTAGGTTAAATGAATAATTTATACATTCTGCTCACCAACAAAAGTTCTTTCAAAATTTTATTCAAGCATTCTTCTAAATTCAAATTACATTCATACAATTTACAAGTAGGACTTTCTCTTAATATAAAACTTTTACATAAAATTTATATCAGAAATTTAATAAATCGGTTAATAAACATTTAATACAACGCACTATTTGCATTTTATTCAAAAGAAAATTTTTAAATTTTAATAAAAATGTATTTTAATAATAATATAAATTATAATTTTTAGAAACTTATTCATTACCAAAATTTCATTCATCTTCAAAAATTCATACTTCCATAAATGTTTGATAATGCAGCAAATGCAGCAGTAAATCGGCCTTGTGTTCGCTTTAGATTATTTCTATTGATTTTTTGTCGAATTGCTGATGTTTGATGATATTGTGAACTTTCTAAAAGGAATTAACGTATTTTCGAAAAAAAAACCCAGAAATAGAGCCACGCTCTTAAAAAGCACACCCAAAAATAGGAACATTTTCATTACATCTAGTTTTCAGCCCAAAATGGCCCAAACTGCATAAAATAAATATACGATTAATTTTAATCTTCCCGTTTTAAAATCAAGAATGGTAAAATCCCCATCATCCTGATTATTCCTTCCTGAAATGGAGCACAATTATAACTTGCTAATGAAACCTAAAACTAGCTTTTCTTAAATAGAGATGTGTGAAATATTGGGTGTATCTTATAATGAGGGTTGCTTTTATACTTACAATGTCTTTCCAAAACCATCCTTGCCAAAGCTTCCATTGTTTTAGGAAAAGCAGAGCTGTGAAAAGAACAGCTGTCTATCATGACGTAGATTATTTACCATTTTCATTACATCTAGTTCATATCCCATGTCAAATCTGCCATAAGCTTCGTCCATAACTAAATAAATAACACGAGAAGGTTGGTGACTTTACCTGGAAAATTTATTTTTGAGAAATTATAGGAGCAAAATGGTCAAAATCAATGAACAAAAGCCGGTTTTACAGAATTATTTTTAAAAATTTGCGAAATTGGTTAAGTGGGAAAGTTTATGTTCATGAAGTAAGAGGTCGCAGGTTCGAACCCACTCAGAGTAAAATTTTAATTTTATAAAGTTTAACTGATTTTTGGGGTGTAACTAGCAAATAGCTTTAAAAAATAAAAAACCGATTATTAGCTGCAAGCATATCAATCATCATTCCAGGTGTGCATACCACAACTTCAGCTCCCTTTTTTTAATTCCGCAATTTGTTCAGATATTGCAACACGTCCACATACACAAACAACACGTATTCCCAAATTTGTAGCAAATTTATTTGCTTCTTTCCATGTTTGTAAAGCAAGATTTCGACATGATTAAAGCTTTGAAAGAAAAAATTTTATTTAATCAAAAAAATTTAAAAAAAACCGATAGGCCCATCCATATCTTCCCATGGTGGTTGATCCAAAATATGTCTAAACCTTGGAATATAAAAAGCCAATTTTTCCACTTCCAGTCTTTGCAGTTCCAATAACAGGCCTAACTGCACTTTACCGGGGGATTTTAGATTTGAACAATTTATATGTCATTCGAAAGAGCTCGGCGAGCTGAGTCGAACGGTACCAAAATTAGCCCGCGGACTCAACTGTGGGCCGAGATATGGGTCCCCAAAAATCGAAAAACCATAGGGGGGACCAAGCTGATTTTTGGGGTGAAAAATTTGAATATGCAAATTATACCTCATTTGAAAGCTCTCGTCGAGCTGAGTCGAATGACAACAAAATCAGGTCTATTGAACAAGTTGACAAAGTTATGACACAAAAAAAACAACGTAAACCTATGGGGCGTCGGCGAGGCGCTTGTGCAAAACCCCGCGCTTCGCGCGGGGTTTTGCGGCACGCGCCTCGCGGGGACTCTACGGGCCTTGGTCTGGGCTCGTAACATAAACCTATTCAGGTCTATTGAACAAGTTGACAAAGTTATGACACAAAAAAAACAACGTAAACCTATGGGGCGTCGGCGAGGCGCTTGTGCAAAACCCCGCGCTTCGCGCGGGGTTTTGCGGCACGCGCCTCGCGGGGAGTCTACGGGCGCTGGGTCTGGGCTCGTAACATAAACCTATTCAGGTCTATTGAACAAGTTGACAAAGTTATGACACAAAAAAAACAACGAAAACCTATGGGGCGTCGGCGAGGCGCTTGTGCAAAACCCCGCGCTTCGCGCGGGGTTTTGCGGCACGCGCCTCGCGGGGAGTCTACGGGCGCTGGGTCTGGGCTCGTAACATAAACCTATTCCTATCTCCCTTGCTCTGGACGTATTTGGGGCCTCAGTAGCAGCAAAAATCTCCCCAGATGCCATAGGTAAGGAGCTAAAATAAAAGATCATAACTTTGTCAAATCAAGTCAGATTTCGTTGATTTTGGTGTCATTCGACTCAGCTTGACGAGCTCTTTCGAATGAGGTATAATTTGCATATTCGAATTTTTCACCCCCAAAAACAGCTTGGTCCCCCCTATGGTTTTTCGAACTTTAGGGACCTGTAACTCGGCTCGTAGTTGAGTCCGCGGACTAATTTTGGTGTCATTCAACTCAGCTTGATGAGCTCTTTCGATTGACATATAAATCATAAAAATCTAAAATCCCCCGGTAAAGTGCAGTTTAGCCCAATAACATCTCTTCTAGTCATTACTGAAGGAATTTTTTGAGCTTGGATAGGTGTAGGTTTTTGATAATTGTGACTGAAAAAATTTGAAATAAATTTTTTTGAGGGTGAGGTCTTCGAACCGCTTCGTGTAAAACTTTAATTTTTAAAAAATATTGTCAAAAAAAATTTTACCGAAGCCTCATTCATTTGTTTCTGGAAATTTGGTTAAGTGGGAAATTATCAATGGACACGCTCCGGGTTGATAATAAAATTAAAAAAATTTCAACGTTCAAAGTGACTCTTACATTCACCTCAAAAAATCACAAATTTGTTCAAGTGGGAAGTCTTTATCTTTATGGAGATTGAGTCATGGGTTCGAACCCGCTCCGGGTGAAACATTTTAAAAATCAAAAAGATAAAATTAAAAATCAATAATATCAAAAACCTACAATTTTAAAACATCCATAACTTTAATATCAACTCCACATTGTGACCAATTCTTTATTGATTTAGGAACATTTTTTCCTCTAACGTGAATTTCATCCAATTCTTCACGATAATCTTCAACTTCCTTTTTTATCATTTTAGCAATTTCCGGAAATTGAATATAAAACTGAAAAATGAATATTTATTAAAATGCTAGGTTAAAATATTAATTTTTAAAAATTATAGAATTTGTAAATCCTTATTAATAAAAATGATGTCATGGGTTCGAAACAGGTCGGGCTAACCCATTATTTTTAAAGTGAAATTAAAATATTAATAGATTCTAAGGGATATCTAAAAATAAAAGACGCCTTAATTCTTTTCGTTATTCAAAAGACAAAAAATTTTAAGAACCCATGATCGTTGTGCTTATAGAGATGAGATTGTGGGTTGGAACCCGTTCCTGGCAAAAAGTTAGTATAACGAATTTTATGTTAATAGATTCCTTGGATTTCTTAAAAACTTAGATTGTTTAAAAAAAATTCATCGACAAAAAAGCTAAAAATTTTGTGGAAGACCAACCCCTACACATAACTAGTCTAAAAAAATAAAATTAAAACCTCTTTCCAAAATGCCTATAATACACTTTTGTGTGATCCGTTTGTGCCAACATTACTCCTTTTACCAATAAACTTGGAGCAGTTTGTCAACATCAAGTTCTTCTTGTGCTTGTTCCTTTTCATCTTCAGGTTCGACAATATCTCCTTCATTTGGTGCACTTTTAGAAACAGCTCCAATCACAACAAAACGAGCTTTTTTGTTCTAAAAGGGAAAAAAACCTTGAAATACTCCAAAAAATAATAAAAAAAACCTCTGCTCCAACTCTCGCTTTTTGTGAAATTCTGCCATGTAAGCGTCCAAAGGATCTTCATCTACAGATTTAGTGCTGGGGATATTAGTTGAGGTTGTGTCCATTCTATATTTAAATTAAAAAAAGTTTAAAGGGATGGTATGAGTGATGTTGGAGGGAAAGATGGAAAGAAACAAAACGGGAGATGGAAATCTTGGAATGAGTCCGGACAGAGGAAAACCTGACTCCCATCCAACTCACAAAATGACCATCGTCATTACTGCGGAGGTTAGCCCTTTTTACTGCGGAGGTTAGCCCAAAGGTTAGCCCAAAACTGCGGAGGTTAGCCCAAAAAAAGTCAAAATTTTGGACTCAATCAATAATTGAGAATCAATAAAATCCTAAAAATAATTAAACCAAAAAATCTTTACCGGAACTTGTTCGTATATCTTCTTGAGTACATCAAACTCTTTTTGAGCAAAAATAATTAGACATTCTGCCTAAAATTTATTTAAAAATTTTCTTTCCGATTAAAAATTTAAAAAAAACCTTCCAAACACGATTTCCATTTGGTAAAACATTTAGTTGTCTATTTGCCCTTTCACATCGTGTAGCGTCCAAAGTTGAAGTATTTTCACTTGGCAAAGTAAAATGAATTAGTTCGCTATGCTAAAAAGGAAAAATGGGGTTTAAATTAAACTGTGAGAAAGAGCATCCATTTTTAAAGGGAAGAATTAGGGACAGCAAATCCAAAGCAGAATTAGTCAAATGAATTTTTAATTATGCGATCCAACTATAAAAAATCCAAACCCGTTTTAAAAATCCAAAAATAAATCTATTTAGAAAGGTGAATGTCAACAAATCAAAAAATACCCTCCAGAAAAATCTTCCTCTAAAAATTTTTTAATTTTTTAAACAAAAACCTTTTCAGCAGAATTAACAATTTCTCCACTATCAATTTCTCCTTTTTTATTTTTTGAACTCAAAAATTCCTTTTTATTTCGTTCTCGAATCTTTCGACTCCATCAAATTCTCATCTTTCTTGTGGAGATCTAGAACATCTACTTCTTTTAGAGCCTCTTTTATCCCTTCTACTTCTATCCATTCTTTTTTCAATTTTTTTGAACGTGACTCTTGACTTTCCCTGTCTGAATCTCTAGAATAAAATTTTGAAATTCTTGGCACTTTTTTCTAAATGTTTCTAGAAATTAATTTTAAATAAAAAACAAATTTAAAAAGTATAAAGTATGTAAATAGAAATCACAACTTTAAAAAACGAAAAAACAATAAAAAATTATTATATCATTACAATAAAATATCATTTTTCAAAAAAATGAAAGAAAATCTTTTTTTATTCAATATCAAATATATTTTTATAAAAACAAATTTCTTTTCTTTCATCAAAGCTTTTTCTGAATTGGAATTTTTGATTTTATTGCCATTTTTCGCACCACAGTCTAAATTTTAAGAATAAAAATTTTAAACATTTTTTTCTCTTATTTTTTCTATAAATTAAAATTCTGGGAAATGATAAATTGGAAAAATTCCGTCATATCTCCCAGAAACCAATTCGGACAAACGATATGTCATTCGAAAGAGCTCACGGAGCTGAGTCGAACGACACCAAAATACTTTGTCAAATCAAGTCAGATTTCGTTGATTTTGGTGTCATTCGACTCAGTTCGACGAGATCTTTCGAATGAGCTATTATTTGCACAATCAAATTTTTTATCCAAAATTCGCCCTTGTAATTCTTCAATATTCAGAGGCCTGTATCTCGATCTAATCAAATCAATAAGGTTGATTTTGGTGTCATTTGACTCATCTCAAGGAGCTCTTACGAATAAGCTATCACTCAAAAAATCGATTTTTTATACTAAAATTGAGCTTACTCCCTCAATGGTTTTTCGATTTTCGGGGACCTATATTTCGGCCCACAAGTGAGTCCCGAAGCTAATTCTGGTGTCGTTCGACTCAGCTCGGTGAGCTCTTTCGAATGACATATAGTTAGTCCGAGTCGGTTTCTGGGAGATATGACGGAATTTTACTGAATTATTTTAAATAAACGCCAAAAACTCAAAAATGACAAAATAATTCAACCATATTTATAAAACAACCTTATGTGCAATTCTATAATAAAGCATGATGGGTGTCATGTGCTATAAAGAAAAATAAATATTTTTAAAAACTATAGGTTTAATATTTTTAACAAATAAAATTAAATGGTACTAATTTAGTTCCCCCCCCTGAGTCGAATGACACCGAAATCAACGAAATCGGACAAGATTTGACAAAGTTATGACATTATTTAGATCTACCGGAGTCGACGACTTATGTCATAACTTTGTCAAATCAAGTCGCATTTCTTTGATTTTGGTCTCATTCGACTCAGCTCGACGAGCTCTTTCGAATGAGCTATCATTTGAGTAAACTTTTTTTATTTAAAAAATCACCCCCATGGTTGTTCAATTTTCAGGGGTCTGTATTTCGGTCAAATCAAGTCGGATTTTGTTGATTTTGGTGTCATTCGACACAGCTCGAAGGGTTCTACAATTGTTGTTCAGACTGACCATTTTTACATAATTTTCGAAAAACCTGACTGGGGGGGGGGACTAAATAAGTACCAATTAAATTGGGATATTTAAAAAAAATATCAAAATTTACATCATCAAATTTCATAACATTTTCCAAATCCATTTTTGTTTCTTGTTTTTTAACAAAAACTAAAACATTTCCATGCTGCCAATATTGGACAAGTAATTCTATCAATTTTAAATATTTTTGGTGTTCTTCCACAACTAGAGCATGTTGCCCAACATTTTTACAAACAACACTGCGACCAACAACCTTTAAGAATATAAATAAATAATGAAAAACTAAGAAGTACAGTCGGACCTGACTGTAAATATACCCTGGCTTCTGAAAAAATCGTAGATTATGATAGTGTTTCTCAAATAGAGGGTGTCGATTGAACGCTTCCCCACACAGTGGCTAATTATTCAAAAAATCGTATTTTAAATAAAGTTGTATCTTATATTAGGGGTATCTTATAGAGATCTGCCTGTACCTTAGAATGTGTATATTAAATAGACGTGCATGAAGCTCCTTGCCCAGTAACTAACCAAATTAAAAAATTAATTGGGTGTATCTACTAGCCAAGGTCCTCAACTGTATTCCTCAAATATGCTTACAAATTCCACAGGTCCATCCAAAACCTTCTTTGCCAAAGCTTCCATTGTCTTAGGAAAAGTAGCAGAGAAAAGAACTGTTTGTCTATCATGACGTACATTATTTATCATTTTCGTTACTTGTGGTTCAAATCCCATGTGATAAATTAAATATGTAACACGATGAAGATTGATGACTTTACCTAGAAAATTTATTTTTGAGAAATTATAAGGAGCAAAATTGTTAAAATCAATGAACATAGGCACTTGGTCGTTAGAGAATTATTTTTAAAAATTGTAAAATTTGGTTAAGTGGGAAAGCTTTGCGTTCATGAAGTAAGAGGTCGCAGGTTCGAACCCGCTCAGGATAAAATTTTAATTTCATGAAGTTTAACTGATTTATAGGGATGTAATTAACAATTTAACCCAAAATCTACCTAATCAAGCTTTTAAAAACTCACATTTATTAGTAACTCTCGCAGTGCTTTCAACAAAAAACGTTTCATTTGGGCTCATCTTTTGAAACACCACTTTTATTATTGACGTCCTTCCACCACTTATGACCCAAAAAGAAAATAAATAAAAATAAGTTAAAAACAAAAATACTATTGTAGGTCTATAGCCAACAGAGTAGACCGAATCTGTTTCATCGTCCTCTAATCCATATTCCTCGTCTTGACGACAAAAGGCTCTGTTTGCCATAAGAACTAGTCGAAAAATAAGAAAAACCTATAAACAAAAATTAAATCATCATTTTAAAAATTAAAAAAAATATTTAATTGAAAAACAGAAAATTGAATCCCCCCGTCTCAAAATGTCCAGCAAGCTACAAAAAATTTTCTATTAAATAGTTTTTTGATTGCCGGGCATTTTGAAGAGAAAGAATCCAACCTTCTGCTTCAACAATAAAATTAAAAAAGAAAAATAAAAACACAAAAGTTTTTATTTCAGCAAAATAATATCAGCAAAAAATACAAACGTTTATTAAAATTCCTAAAAATTTGATCCTTCCAAAAAAATTTCGGAATTTTATAATTTGTAACGTCCACCAGTTGCTACTTGTCTGGTTAAACCTTGTGCAGCCTAAGAAAAAAAATTAAGAAAATTTTTTTAAATAATTTGGACTGCAATATAAGCTAATTGGCGAGGAAAGTTTCCTCAGAAAGCTGACTAACATGTTTTTTAATCTGGGGCCATAGGTTGAGGATTAGTTACCCGCGCGGTTCGGGATCTCGCACGGGATTTTGTGGAATCCCATCCCGCAATCCCGCACGTTTTTCAAGTTGCGGGATTATTCCTGCGGAATCCAGTCCCAGAGATTCTAAGTAAGTTATTCTCGCATGCGGGAAAGGGGTTCAAACCCATAACCCCCAAAAAGAAATGTAAACCACTTAACCAAAAATAAATTTTTAGCTAGTGGTTTCTGCGGTAATGAGTTTAAAACCCATTTGAGGAGAAAAATTTTCCTATTTTTAAAATTTTCTATTTAAATAATAAAAAAAATTCTCTGCAAACCGTTAAATTCACTGGTGAGCTTCTGTTCCTTTAATTATAGCTTCTGCTGTTAAATGAGTTGCATCTTTTTCCATGGAAGCTTGTCCTAATTTGCAGCAATCTGTTCAGCCATTCCTCTTGCTGCTTCAACTTTCTTTTCTGTTGAAGGATCAATTAGGCTTTCCTCGATCCAGCACATGCTCGGCGAGTTGTTAAAGATGTTTCTAATCCTTAAAAAATAGGTAAAAATTAAATGTTAAAAAAGAAAAAATGTTTTAAAAAATTCCTTCTAGTTGGAAAGGTATATTAAAAATATTTTCTATTGATGAATAAAAATGTTTTTCACTTAGGGGGTTCAAACCCACGACCCCAAAAAGAGATGTAAACCACTTAACCAAATGTGAGAATAAACAAATAAATGGTAAGATTAGCTAGAGCCTTTTTAATAGATATTAAAGCTCTCCTAAATTTTGGGAAAATAAAGAAAGATAACACGACAATCCAAACCCCCACACCTCAAACCCTATACCACTTAACCAAAAAACATAAAAAACAAAAACCTATTGATCATCAATATTTTCAGATCCATCGTCCATTCCACTTTCTATTCCATAGATTAATTTAGTTAATTTTCTTTTATTCATTTCACTTTCATCCTCAATTTCAGCATAACGAAAACCTGAACCAGGATATCCTCCACTACCCATAAGTATTTCGTTTCCTTCTTTAGCCATTTTTGTCTTATATTCTTCCCATAATTTCTTCAAATCTTCGGGTGGTTCTATTCCAGTTGTTTCAAAAGCTCGAACAAATTGTCCAGCAATTTTTTCTTGTCCTGTTGCCAAAACAAATATATAAGCATAACCTTTATTCCCTGCACACCCAGTCCTTCCAACTCTATGAACATAATCTTCATAATGATTAGGGGCATCATAATTTTCAAAAAAATTAATCTTCTGACATCGAGACCACGAGCAGCGACTCATTTAATTCCAATGCTTTTTGTTTAGCAAGTGAAATTCCCTTAAAAAAATTAAAAAGATGGCAAATTTTAAAAAATAAATTATTTTTCCTGAAAAGGTTTCGAACTCATGTCCCCCAAAAAAGTGTAAAAAACCACTTAAACTAAAATAAATTTTTGGCTAGGGTTTTTGCGGTGATGAGTTTAAAACTCAGGCTGTACTTTAGTACGTGGGTCCCGAGCTTGATATACAAATGTTATACCATTTGAAAGAGCTCGTCGAGCTGAGTCGAATGACACCAGTTTTAGCCCGAGGAAAAATTTTTGAACCGAGATATAGGCCCCCGAAAATCGAAAAACCATAGGGGGACCAAGCACTTTTTTGGGGTGAAAAATTCGAAAATGCAAATTATACCTCATTCGAAAGAGCTCATCGAGCTGAGTCGAATGACACCAAAATCAACGAAATCTGACTTGATTTGACAAAGTTATGATCTTTTCTTTTAGCTCCTTACCTATGGCATTTGTGGAGATTTTTGCTGCTACGGAGGCCCCAAATACGTCCAGAGCAAGGAAGATAGGAATAGGATTATGTTACGAGCCCAGACCCAGCGCCCGTAGACTCCCCGCGAGGCGCGTGCCGCAAAACCCCGCGCGAAGCGCGGGGTTTTGCACAAGCGCCTCGCCGACGCCCCATAGGTTTACGTTGTTTTTTTTGTGTCATAACTTTGTCTAATCTTGTTCAATCACGGTGATTTTGGTGTCATTCGACTCAGCTCATCGAGCCCTTTCGAATGAGGTATAATTTGCATATTCGAATTTTTTGACCCCAAAATTTTCAAATTTCGGGGGTCTGTAACTCGTCCATATGAAGTCTGATTTCGTTGATTTTGGTGTCATTCGACTCAGCTCGATGAGCTCTTTCGAATGAGGTATAATTTGCATTTTCGAATTTTTCACCCCAAAAAAGTGCTTGGTCCCCCCTATGGTTTTTCAAATTTCAGGGACCTATATCTCGGTCCAAAAATTTTTCCTCGGGCTAAAACTGGTGCCATTCGACTCAGCTCGACGAGCTCTTTCAAATGGTATAACATTTGTATATCAAGCTCGGGACCCACGTACTAAAGTGACCCCAAAACTCATTTGCGGAGACAAAATTTTCTTATTTTTAAAATTGGCCGTTTAAATAATAAAAAAATTCTCTGCAAACCGTTAAATTCACTGGTTGTGTTTCTGTTCCTTTCATTATAGCTTCAGCTGTTAAATGTGTTGCATCCTTTTCCATGGAAGCTTGTCCTACTTTTGCAGCAATTTGTTCAGCCATTCCTCTTGCTGCTTCAATCTTTTCTGTTGAAGGATCATGCTTTCCTCTCCATCCAGCACCTGCTCGGCGAGTTGTAACCCTTTTACAGACTTCTAATCTTTAAAAAATAGGTAAAAATTAAATGTTAAAAAAGAAAAAATAGTAAAAAAATTCCTTCTAGTGGGAAAGGTTTATCAAAAGTATTTTTTGTTGCAAAATAAAAATATTTTTCTCTTAGGGGGTTCGAACCCACGACCCCAAAAAGAGATGTAAACCACTTAACCAAATGTGAGAATAAACAAATAATATTTAAAAAGATGAGCTAAAGCCTTTTTAATAAATATTAAAGCTCCCCTAAATTTCAGAAAAATGAAGGAAAACAACCCGACAATCCAAACCCCCACCCCTCAAACCCTATACCACTTAACCAAAAAAACATAAAAAACAAAAACCTATTGATCATCAATATTTTCAGATCCATCGTCCATTCCACTTTCTATTCCATAGATTAATTTAGTTAATTTTCTTTTATTCATTTCACTTTCAACCTCAATTTCATCATAACGAAAACCTGAACCAGAATATCCTCCACCACTCATGTGTATTTCGTTTCCTTCTCCAGCCATTTTTGTCTTATATTCTACCCATAATTTCTTCAAATCTTCGGGCGGTTCTATTCCAGCTGTTTCAAAAGCTCGAACAACTTCTCCACCAATTTTTTCTTGTCCTGTTGCCAAAACAAATGTATAAGCTTAACCTTTATTTCCTGCACACCCAGTCCTTCCCACTCTTTGAACATAATCTTCATAATAATTAGGGGCATCATAATTTTCTAAAAAAATAATTTTTTGACATCGAGACCACGAGCAGCGACAGAAGTAACAGCCAGCGTCTACTCATCAATTCCAATGCTTTTTGTTTAGCAAGCGAAATTCCCTTTAATAAATTTAAAAATAAATGGAAAATTTAAAAAAATAAATTATTTTCTCTTAGGGGGTTCGAACCCACGACCACAAAAAGAGAAGTAAACCACTTAACCAAATGTGAGAATTAACAAATAATGTTTAAAAATCTCCATTCTTAGGGAAAAGTAGCTGAGAAAATCAATTATTTTTTAAGAAATATACAATTTGGTTAAGTGGGAAAGCTTTATGTTCATAAAGGAAAAAGTCGCAGGTTCGAATCCGCTCCGGGTAAAAATTTAAATTTACGAGGTTTAACTGATTTATAGGATGAATTAACAAATTGCTTTAAAAAAATAAAAAAACCTATTATTAGCCGCAAGCATATCAATCATCCTTCCAGGTGTGCATACCACAACTTCAGCTCCCTTTTTTTAATTCCGCAATTTGTCCAAATATTGCAACACCTCCATAAACACAAACAACACGTATTCTCAAATTTCTAGCAAATTTACTTGCTTCTTTCCATGTTTGTAAAGCAAGTTCCCTTGTCGGGAACATGAATAAAGCTTCAAAAAAAGAAAATTTTATTTAATCAAAAAGTTTAAAAAAACCGATAGGCCCGTCCATATCTTCCAATGGTTGTTGATCCAAAATGTTTTTTTCCACTTGCAGTTTTTGAAATTCCAATAACATCTCTTCCAGTCATTATTGAAGGAATTGCTTTTGCTTTTTGATAATCCTTTAAAATTTTAAAAATTATTTAAAAATTCTTTTCCCGAAAAGGGTTCGAACCCTTGACCCTAATTAAGAAATTTATACCACTTAACCAAAAATTAAAAAAATTTTAAAAATAAAAGAAAAATTTGTTTACTCTTGAACAAACTCTAAAATGCAACAACCAACTCTTCTTCAAAATATTGAAAATGTTGTTCAGCTTATTTTCCTTTAGAATCAGAAGATAAATAATCAAGTTTTTCATTTAATTCCATTGTTTTTTGTTTAGCAAGTGAAATTCCCTTTAAAAATTTTTAAAATAAATAGCAAATTTTCGAAAATAAAAATATTTTCCCCGAAAGGGGTTCGAACCTATGACCCACAAAAAGAGATGTACTAAACCACTCAACCAAAAACACATTTGTTCTATTGGTTTTTTTGCGGTCATGGGGTCAAACCAATTTCAAAACCAATTCAAAACCAGGTCAAACCAATTTCGAGGAAGATACATATTATCCTTTAAAATTTGCTATTCATTGTTATAATTAAAAAAATTCTCTGCAAACCGTTAAATTCTCTTGTTGGGCTTCTGTTCCTTTCATTATAGCTTTAGCTGTTAAATGTGTTGCATCTTTTTCCATGGCACCTGCTCGGCGAGTTGTAACTCTTTTTTGACTTCTAATCTTTAAAAAATAGGTAAAAATTAAATGTTAATAAAGAAAAAATTGGTTTAAAAAATTCCTTATAGTGTGAAAGGTCTATCAAAAGTATTTTTTGTTGCAAAATAAAAATATTTTTCTCTTAGGGGATTCGAACCCACGACTCCAAAAAGGGATGTAAACCACTTAACCAACTGTGAGAATATACAAATAATGGTTGTTTTTTGGAGGGTTATGCGTACGAACCCGCTCGGAGCTTAAAAAATGTTTTAACTACCAAAAGGGACAAAAATTTTTAAAAAATAAAATTAAAACCTCTTTCCAAAATGGCCTATAACACTCTTGTGTGATTGTTTTGTGCCAACATTCTTCCTTTTACCAATAAACTTGAAGCAGTTTGTTCAACATCAATTCATCTTGTGCTTGTTCCTTTTCATCTTCAGGTTCGACAATATTTCACATATTTTGGGGCACAATTAAAAACAGACCAATCACAACAACATGAGCTTTTTTGTTCTAAAAGGGAAAAACCTTGAAATACTCCAAAAAATAAAACAAAAAACCTCCGCTCCCGCTCTTGCTTTTTGTAAAATTTTTGCCTTGTAAGCGTCCAAAGAATCTTCATCTACAGATTTAGTGCTGGGGGTATTAGTTGAGGTTATGTCCATTCTATATTGAAAATAAATTAAGCATAAGAGTTTGTGAGTGATGTTGGAGGGAAAGATGGAAAGGAACAAAACGGGAGATGGAAATCTTGGGATGAGTCCGGACAGAAGCACACCTGAGTCCCATCCAACACAGAATGACCATCGTCATTTATATATTTTACAGCGGAGCATAGTCCCAAAAAAGTCAAAATTTTGGACTCAATCAATAATTGAGAATCGTCAGAAACCGGAATCGTGTTAAACTTAACCCGGTAATATTGAACCGGACAGACCCTCTTTTTTCCTCCCGGATTTTTCACCTATATTTTTGCAAAATAATCAGACTTTTTACTTTCTTCCATTCAATTTGCAATTTCTAATTTTTGCCTAGAATAAAACAAGTAAAAGGAGGATTATTTTTTGGTATTCAATAAGTATGAGTTTTGAGAACTCATTTTCTCAATAAAAAATGAAACAACCTAATGAGGAATAAAATATCAAAAATAATCCTTTGTTTGATTGCAGGCAAAAATTAGAAAGGCAATTTGGATGGAAAAAAGGAAGACTGGGCACTTTGCAAACAATATAGGAAAAGGGGAGAAAAAAGGGCGTGTACGGTTCAACATTACACTTAAATCAGAACTAAAAATCATTCTTCTCCCCCCCCCCCCCCCCCAAATATTCTTCCTCCTAAAAAATTATTTAAAAAAACCTTTCAAATTATTTTCATTTGTTGCCACATCAACTCTCATATTTTCATCTTTAACTGTTCCATTCCCATTTTCAATTAAATTATTTTAATCATCATCTTCTCCTTCCAAAGTCCAAGAAGATGAAGGTTTAGCTTCTTCATGTAACGGAGGGGCAAGTATCCCTTCAGCAGTCTTTTTCTTGAAGTTTCTTCTGTTGTTCTCTCCATTTTTCAACCTTTTCTCGCCCTTTTAGAATTTCTTGGTCAAGTTTTTCTGTTATTTTGTCCTTAAAATGAGGTTTATCTCTTAAGTTTATCTTTTTATTTTTGAGAGGAAGCCTCAACCTTTTTAAAACCCAAGAGAAATTGAACCGAAGGAGGAACCGGGCATGAATCGAACCTGCGACCTCCTCTAAAAACAGTTACTCCCTTGCAGGAGTGCCCCAGATTACCCGAATATCGATCCAAAGAACATTTTGAAGATCGACCAGAAAATCGGCCCTATTTTTTATCAACCCGAGATCTCCCAATGGGATTAGATCCAACCATAAAAAATCCAAGCCCGTCCTAAATCCAAAAATAAATTTATGAAAATACCTCCAAAACCAGCCATTCCATGGTTTTGAGCTAATTGAGTTCCATAAGGTGTAGCCATTGAAAGTGGTGCACCTGCAGGTATAATTTCGACACCAAAAGGAGTGTTGGTGATCATTGGAAGAGCAGCATTTGGAACTTAATGAAATTTTGGGAAATTAATTTTTAAAAAATAGGGGAAAATAGGGTATTATTACCTAAATCTTACATAGAATTATGGACATTTCGGAGATATTTCTGAATGGATTCATGTTAGAGTCAAAAACTCGAAACCTATACCTGTGAGTTCATAAAATATTTTTTTACTGAAAAATATTTTACTGTTACCAAGATCGAACCTGTGACCCCAAAATATCTGAAATTTTCACTTAACCATGAATCCTTCTTTGCAAACAAAATCAGAAAATTAACCCTCTATTTAAAAATCAAAATAATTCCCAAATTGAAAAATAGAATACCAAAAAATCCAGGCGCCGGATAAGCAGGAAGAGCACCCATTAAAGAAGCTGATCCATGAACACCTCGTGGAGCATAACGTCCAGTCCATCGAGTTTTTGGCCGGGCCAATTTCAAAAATGATTCACGACCAAAAAAGCTTTGCTTGTTCATCTCGACCTTTCAAAAAATTTTTTTTAATTTTTATTTAAAAAAATACCAAAGCCCTTTCATTTCGTTCTCGAATCTTTTTACTCCAAAAATATTTTGATCTCTTTCTTGTGAAGATCTAGAACGACTTATACTTCATTTAGAGCCTCATTTATCCCTTCTACTTCTTTTATCCATTCCTTTTCATCTTTTTTTGAACGTGACTGTTCTCTTTCCATGTCTGAATCTCTAAAATAAAATTTTAAAATTGTTGGCATTTTTTCTACATGTTTCTAAAAACTACTTTTAAATAGAAAACAAATTTAAAAAGCATTAAATATGTAAATAGAAATCATCACTTTAAAAAGAAGAAAAAACAATTAAAAAATCATTTTTTTTCTAATAATTAAAAGAAAATTTTTTTAATTCAATATCAAATAAATTTTTATAAAAATAAATTTTTTTCTTGCATCAAAGCTTTTTCGGAGTTGGAATTTTTGATTTCATTGCCGTCTTCTGTACCACAGTCTAAATTTTAAGAATAAAATTTTAAACATTTTGTCTTATTTTTTCTATAAATTAAAATTCTGGGAAAATAAAATTTGGCAAACCCCCCACCCCCACATGGTTTTTCGATATTCTAGGACATATATTCGGGTTCGGGATAAGACTTTTTCAAAATCTGAGTTCAGATTCGTAATCAGCATATTTTTTACCCTAGAAACATCGTTTTTCTTATTTTTAAAATTTTTTTCCGCAGGGACCCCAATTCTCCAGGATTGCCATAAATTTTGAATAAACGCCAAAAACTCTAACAAAACAACCTTATGTGCAATTCTATAGTAAAGCATAATTGGCGTCATATGCTATAAAGAAAAAATTTTTTTATAAACTATATGTTTAATATTTTTAAAAATAAAATTAATTGGGATTGAAATTTTTGTATTATTTTTTATTTTATTTGAAAAATATTTATAATTTACATCATCAAATTTCATAACATTTTCCAAATCCATTTTTGTGCAAATATGATCATTGAATTCAAACCAAAAATATGATTTGCCAAATTTATTAATTTTTTTTGTTCTTGAAATTACATGTCCACCTTCAGCGGTTCCCATGTGGATCTTTAAAAACCAAAATTATTTTTAAAAAATTTTTAAATTGAATTATTTTTCTATAGATACTCTCCGGTTATTTCCCCACATTTTCCTTTTTTCTCCTTCCCTCTTTCTCTTTTACAAAATGGTAAAAATTTTACCTATAAATATTTGCCTGCCCATTTTGTCTTTGATCCGTTTTTAATTTTAAGAGAAAAGAATAAAACGAGAAAGTAAATTTAAGGAGATACCCGTAGAGTACCTTCTATTAAATGCAAATTATTTTATTGAAATTTAAGATAATATTATCCACATACCACAATCGAGTACAATTCGTAAAGGGTATCATTAATAACAGTCTCATTGTGTAAATAATTTTTCATCTCTAATTGAAATGGAAATTTAACAGGTCGTTTGTCGTAATGCTTCACATTTTCAACAACACTTAATAAATATAATTTTTAATCTAGTTATTTTAAAGTACCTAATTCTATTCAATAAAAAAATAATTATATTTGGTGACCTCCAATAATAGAGGTTTTTTTGTAATTTATTGGAACAATTATTGCATTTTCCCTCATCATCAACAGTTCTTATAAACATTTTATTTAAACATTCTTCTAAATTCATCTCATTACTTTTATATAATTGTACAGGAAGGACTTTCTATTAAAAATAGATATTATAAATGGATAATAAATGGAAATATTTTTGTTTTGAAATGTTAAAATTAAAAACTAACAACATTTTGAAATACAATATAAGATAATTTGCAGCGTATACAAAAATATTTAGCAATAAAGACTTGGTCGAAAAGTTCGTCGATGAATGATGAGGAATATAAATTATATTGATTAATATAAGAATCTGCACATTGTTTGACTGTTGTAAAATTTGTATAAATTGTTGTAATTGGAGATGGGTAAGTAACCTTAAATTATAATAAATTATTTAATTTTATCTATATTTTAGAAAAGTAAATTTAAAAAATCATACTCTATTTATATCCAGGGATAATTTTTCAAGAAAATCATTCTGGAACTTGTATGCGTCATCGCATGTCATCCCGTCATACCTCTCATGAACATATTTTGTTAAAATTTTCTAAAATAAATTTCAATTTTACATTATTTTTTAAACATTTAATAAAACGCAATTTTTGTATATTATTCAAAAAAATTTTTAAATTTTAATATAAACGTATTTTAATAATAATATAAATTATAATTTTTAGAAACTAATTCATTACCAAAAATTCATTCATCTTGAGAAATTCATACTTATTACTTGAATAAATGTTTGATAATGCGGCAAATGCAGCAGTAAATCGGCCTTGTGTTCCCTTTCGATTATTTCTATTGATTTTTTGTCGAATTGCTGACGTTTGGTAATATTGTGAAAATACAGGAGTATTCAATAAACTTTGTAAAACTGAGTTAACATAACAATTGTTTCGTAAATTTGATAGGCCTGTTACTTCCATCTAAAAGGATAATACTGTATTTTCGAAAAAAAGCACCCCAGAAATAAAGCCCCACTCTTAAAAAGAGCACAATCAAAAATAGAACCCCTTTTTTGTCAAATTACCTATTACATTTTTTAATTTTCCGATGGTAAGTCAATATAATTTCAAATTTGGTATACCACTTACTGGTACTCAAATTTCATAAATTTTAGTTCTAGACTAGGGCACCGTCCCATGAACTTTATGCGTTTAACAACAAAAATATGCGTCCCATTAGAGTATGATATGCGTCTCAAATCCTCAATAAGCTTTCCATATTCATCGATGTCCCTCTTAAAGCTCAACTCGAAAATCTCTTAATCCACACAAAATAATAAATCCTCATATTTCCTAGATTTCTCTGTTAGTCCTTTGAATCTTTTATTATTCCCAATCCCTCTATATCCACTCAGGGACTTAATTTTCAGCAAGAAATGCGAAATTTTTACTTACATTTTCAGTGCCGATGGCAATTTATGGGTAGTTAAAAATCCCGGACTGTGCTTATATTATTCATGGACGCTTATAATATTTTTGGGATGCGTACTTTGATAGGATTTGTGAGACGCATATTCTCTGATAAATAGTATATACCACTTTCGGAACGCATATATTTTGGTGGGACGCATAAAATAATAGTTTTAATTAATTAAACTTTTAAAAAATATTTAAAATTTATAAACTTACATACGGACTCTCATCTAAATCTTCAATTAATACTTGGACCGATTGTGTGTAAGATTCGTCATATTCAACAAAATTTGACATTATATTCTAGAAAATATTTAAAAATGAGGTACTTTTCCGTTATGACGTAATACCCAAAATTAATGTTCAAAACGTCATATATAGGGTAGAAAAAGGTGCTGAGTCGAATGGTATTACTCTTTTTTCACGGAGATGCCTGTGGACCGAGATATAGAGCTCGAAATGGTCAAAAACCATAGGGGGGAGTAAGCTTAAATTTGGGGTGAAAAGTTCCATTTTTTGAATGATAGCTCATTCGAAAGAGCTCCTCGAGCTGAGTCGAATGACACCAAAATCAGCTCGAAATCTTGATTTTGAGACTAGATGAACAAGCTCAAAATGGTCAACGCAAACCTATGGGGCGTAGGCGAGGCGCACTTCCCCTATGGTTTTTGACCATTTCGAGCTCTATATCTCGGTCCACAGGCATCTCCGTGAAAAAAGAGTGGTACCATTCGACTCAGCACCTTTTTCTACCCTATATATGACATTTTGAACATCAATTTAGGGTGTTACGTCATAACGGAAAAGTACCAAAAATGATTTTATTTGGTTCATAAAGTCATCACAAAAAGATAGGGACAGTAGCCCATGTTGGTAATAGTCAAGATCATTGGTCCCGATAACAAAAATGAGCAAAAAATCGTTCTTCGGTATTCTTGAGGCTTGCCTAGTCAAGTGTCAGTCAGAATCTGAGCTTAGAATTTGTTTATTTGAATCCCGGGTCCGAATTCGACCGAATCGGATTAGATGTAAAAATTCAAGATTTAAATTTTAGAATTAATCTGACTTGTCTCTTCGAGCTTAAGTGAATAGCATCAAAATCATAAAGTTTCGACAACTCTAATAACATTAACAATTCTAAACATGTTTGTAATAGAAGATAAAAACATTCTTAAGCAACTCAAGCACCATAACTCCGTTCACTATTTTATGTCATTCACCACAGCTCGGAGACAAGTCAGATTTTTTTACCCCGAATTCGAATCGGGGGAATTCAAGTACGGGATTCGAAATAAACAAATTCAAAATTCAGACTTTGAATCAGCACACTCGGTTACCCACTGCAAGCTTCAAAAACAGAAAAACC